ATCCTACATGGGTTATTTTGAAAATTAGAAAGAACACCTGTTGTAGAATATTAGTTTGCTATGTTATGTTCCCTTATGCTCTGAATTATCTGTTTCATGAGGCAGAGATGTGATGCATTTCTTTAACTCTGTAAAACTGTGTCATGCTGCCAGTCTAAAACACTAAATTGGTCTAATAAAGAGCTGAACAGCCAATAGCTAGGCAGGAGGTGGATAGGTGGGGCTGCCAAGCAGAAAGAATACATAGGTGGAGAAATATAGGCTCTGGAGAGGAGGAACAAGAAAAGGAGGAGAGGAGGAAGCCAGGGCCAGTCTCCCAGCCACACAGCCAGCCATGGAGTAAGAAGGAAAGATACACAGAATGAAGATAAAAAGCCCAAAGGCAAAACATAGTTAAAGAGAAATGGGATAATTTAAGTTAGAAAAGCTGGCTAGAAAAAAAGCTAAGCTAAGGCTGGGCATTCATAAGTAAGAATAGGACTTTGTGTATTTATCTGGGAGCTGGGTGGTGAGCCCCCAAAGAATTAAAAAAAAACCAAACCAACAACAACAACAAAAAACACCTACAAACACCTTGGTGCTTACCTAAGCCTAACAAAATGCCTTGTAATGTTAGCTTATAGAAAAGCTAGTATACCTTAAGTGCAAGTGGCTAAATGAGAGGTACAACATTTGAACACCATGCAAATATGGCCAATACATCTAGCACACTATCTTACTATATTCTTGTTTGGTACAATTTAGTGTTTTCTTAATATAGAACCTAATGATACTTTAGTCTTGAATTTATAGCAGTCCTCCTGCTTCTGTCTTGGAAGTAATGGGATTACAGAATGGATCCTGTGTCTACTCAAAAGGCCTCTCAGTTTAGCACTGGTTTACACACACCTATACTGCCTCAGGGTAACTTCAAATTATAAGGTTAATATTGCCAAAGGCCAAAGGACAGCAACCATGATTTGACCACAGGGCAGAGACTCTAGACAGAAAAAAATTTACCACTTTAAATTCTTTTTAGAAAAATACTGAACAAAACCAAGCACCTGAACTGGGCATAGTGGCATAAGCCTTTAATCTCAGTACTCGAAGGCAGAGGCAGGTAGATCTCTGAATTCAAGGCCAGATTGGTCTATATAGCCAGTTCCAGAACAGTTGAGACTATACATCAAGACTCTGTCTCAAATAAATTCAAAAAGGGAAAGGTACTTTTTAAAAACCCCACAACTAAGCCGGGCGTTGGTGGTGCATGTCTTTAATCCCAGCACTTGCGAGGCAGAGGCAGGTGGATCTCTGTGAGTTCGAGACCAGCCTGGTCTACAAGAGCTAGTTCCAGGACAGCCTCCAAAGCCACAGAGAAACCCTGTCTCGAAAAACCAAAAACAAAACCAAAACCAAAACCAAAAAAAAAAAAAAAAAAAAAAAAAAAAAAAAAAAAAAAACCACAACTAGATACCACTGCCAGGTATGGTCATACACTCCTGTAGTTCTAGCATTTAGAAGCAGAGGCAGAATGACCAGGCATTCCAGTAGCTATCCTTGGATTATATAATCAGTTCAAAATTGGCCTGGGCTATGACCCTGTTTCAAAAAGGGGGTTAGAGGTGGTCCCACAGTTAAGAGCATCTGGGTTTCAGCAGAGGATCCAAGTCTAATTCCTAGCACACCTATCAGGCAGCTTACAACTACCTGTAACTCTAGCTCTGGCCTCCAAAGAATCTGAGGCCCTCTTGTGGCCTCTGAAGACACCAGGCATACACATGGTGCACATACACACATATGTGCAGGCATATACACATAAAAAAAGAAATTCCAAGGGGCTGAAGAGATGGCTCAGAGGTTAAGAGCACTGACTGCTCTTCCAGAGGTCCTGAGTTCAATTCCCAGCAACCACATGGTGGCTCACAACCATCCATTATGAGATCTGGTGCCCTCTTCTGGTGTGCAGATATACATGGAAGCAGAATGTTGGATACATAATAAATAAATAAAAATCTTTAAAAAAAAACAAAAAAAAGCATAAAACAAAAAAAAACCCTCTTGTTGTAAAAAAAAAAAAAAGAAAAAGAAAAAAAAGAAATTCCCGAGTCTATTAGCAATCATCCCCTAATCCTATTTCCCTTGGCAGGCACTGATCTGTAGTACCTTTTTAAGAATACATTTTTTTTTTTATTTTTTATGTGTGCTTGTATACTTGTATACATGCATAGGCACAAAACCAAAAATCATTTTTAAAAGTCAAGTGTGATAGAACACATCTATAATCCCAGAACTTAGTGGTAGAGGCAGAAGGATCAAGAGTTCAAGGTCAGCCTCAGCTACACCAAGAACTTATCTTAAAAAAGCAAAACAAAGCTGGGCATGGTGACTCAAGTCTTTAATCCCAATATTCTGGAGGCAGAGGCAAGTGGATCTCTGAGTTTAAGCCTAACCTAGTTTAGTTTCTAGTTTACAGCCAGAGTGAACAGAGAAACTGGGGATGGGGTGGGGTGGGGGGCAACAGAACATTAAAACAGCAGAGAATGAGTAAATAGATGGGCTGCTTCCTCAATTTTGAACTTTACCCTTCCTTCTCCAAAGGAAACAGGTTTTTCATGTATGACAGAGATACATCACAGACACATTAGAAGGCAAATACATTACAATGCTGCATAAATACTGACCACTTTGTGGGTAGAGCAGTATCCTTCTTTTAATGATTTTTTTTTAAAAAGATTTATTTATTTTATGTATAAGGTGTTCTATCTACATGTACACTTGTGTGCCAGAATTGGGTATCAGATCCCATTATAGATGGCTGAGTGCTGGTTGCTGGGAATTGAACTCAAGACCTTATACATGCTAGGTGGGCTCTCCATGTCTGAGTTACATCTCCAGCCTCAGGACAACAACCACAACCATTCCAACTGCACCTTTCACTTCTTGAGTTTCCTACATAACTTTATGTAGTGTTTAGCCAACCTGCCCTTTTTGGATTTATTTGGGATAGTGCTAATGATGAAACCTAGAGCCTCAAACATTCTACCCAAGTATTCTACCATTAAGCTACATCACCAGTCCAGCTTTTCTTTTTATGTTTTTATGTTTTTTTTTCTAATTTATCTATATTTTATGTATGAACACTCTGCATGTATACTGGAATGCCAGAAGAGTGCATCAGATCCTACTATAGATGGTAGTGAGTCACCAAGTGGTTACTGGGAATTGAACTCAGGACCTCTGGAACAGCAGTCAGTGCTCTTAACCTGTAAGCCATCCCCTACAGCCAGCCCTCCCAGTCCTGTTGGAATTTTTTGTTTGTGTGTTTTTTTTAAACAGTGAGTACATTGTCTATTAAAAACATTTCAACGTATAAAGAACGTTAAGGTCAGAACTTAAACACTTCTATTGCTAAGAAATACAATCTAACCTAATGAGAAAAAGCAAGGGTTAGCTATAGTTAGTCTAGCTAGAAAAGCAAAGTGCTTCAAACAATGCTATATATAGCATAATCAAAAAACAAGAATAAAGATTAGGGCAGAGCCAGGAGGTGGTGGCCCACACCTTCAATTCCAGCACTCAGGAGGGAGAGAGGCAGGTGGATTTCTGTGATTTCGAAGCCAGCTTGGTCTTACAAGTTTCAAGACAGCCAGAGCAGTTACCCAGAGAAACCCTGTCTGGAAAACACAAAACAAAACAAAAAAGAAGCGACTTGAGCTGAAACCTGAACCAGAAGGCAGCTATAAAGTGAAGACTGAAGAGGAGCCTCAGATACCAATGCCTGGAGGTGAGAACCAGCCTGGGCAGTGGAGTAGCTGAAAACACAACGCGGGAGGTTGGCCTGCAGTGAGAGCTGGGGCACAAGAAGAAATCAGAGGAAGGAGGGAATCGGTTGGCTTGGCAAGCCACGACAAAGAGTGAGCAGGATGGGGAATTTTTAAGCAGGGTCCAACCAAGGAGCACTCAGGGCTAGAACTTAGAACTGTCTCGTGCTTCATCTGAGATTCAGCCAACCCGGCTAGAAAATGTCACTCAATTGGTACTGCTTGCCTGACACTCAAGAAGTTCCGGGTTCGACCCCCCAGCACCCCAGCACCCCAAGAACACCGAGCAAGGTGGTGCAAACACCTGCGACCCCAGCTTCTGGAAGACGGAAGCGGGAGGGTGGTAAGTTCAAGATCATCCTGGGCTAGGCAGCTTGTTGCAGGCTAGTCGGGGCTACAAAGAGCCCCGGTTTGTAAGAGTCACTTATAAGGCAGTTGCGTCGGGCCTTTCAAAAGGCTGCAAGGGAACTTTAAAAAAGGCGCCACTCTGCCCGCCAAGGGTGCTGTCGGTTCCGGGGCCCCGTCCCTACGCCGCGTCTGTGGGGGGGGCCGGGGGGCCTGCCCCGCCCCGGGGCCGCCGGCCCCCCCGTGCCCCCCTCCGCCGGGGGGGGCCCTCGCCGCCCGCCAGCCTCCTCAGCGGGGCCACGGCGTTCCTCCGCCACCTCAGCCCCGGCGCCCCGGCCGCCGCCCCCCGCCTCCACTCACGGGTTGTTATTACTCATGGTCAGCAGCAAGCTGCTGAGGAGCCGCACGTTGGAGTGCAGCCCTGCGGCCGCCATGTCCCGCACATGGTCTATCACGCTCATCCTGCCCGGCGACAGCGGGGACCCCAGCAGCTGACAGAACTCCCCGGAGCCGAGCGGAGCCGAGCCGAGGGGAGCCGAGCGAGCCTCGGGGAAGGTTCCAAAATGGCGGCGGCGGCGGGGTCCTTCGAGTCCCTCAGGATATAGGTGGCTACTGACGAGCCTGCGTAAAAAGAAGAATTGCTGGTGAGGCGAAGGGGCTTTTTCGCCAACCTTGCGTCACCGTCTGAAAGTGTAAACCTTGCTGAGGACTGGCAAGGCGAGAGAAGGCCTCCCCGGTAGGAATAGTGGCTTTGTTTGGAATAAAGCCAGCCCGAGGGGCGGATGCCTCTGCGAGGCAAGAACAATGTGCAGGAGTCCATCACAAAGAAGGTAAATATAGCAGTGGTGGAAACCCGACAGTTACAATTGAATTTTTGAATCAGGCGCCCAAGGGCCGACTTTTTACAACTACGCGTGCGCGCCACGTGAAGGTGCCACGCCCCCTCGTCTGGGGGTTTGTATTCCTGTCACCGTGGGTAGATTGCGTGGTTCAAGGCATGGTTTAGCAGGTAAAGTGAGCCGGTAGATCGGAGGGGATAAAGGATAGGTACGGGAGTGAGCTGATAACCCCATAGTTGACGACTTGAGACTTTGCGAGTTCGTTATTGGATTGCATGTTCAAAAACCGCGACGCTTAAGTCATTCCCTTAAAGTTGACAGCCGACTCGGGTTAAAACTGCTTTCTCCTTTTGCAGAGAACACAAATTCAGTTTCCAGCACCCTCCTGGAGGTCCACGGTCATCCTGTGGGCCCAGCTCCAGGACATCCGACTCCTTCCCCTGCTTCCATGGGCACCTGCGTGCTTGTGGTGAGCAGACGTACACTCAGGCACGCACGATGATACTCAAAAACATTAAAAGTAAAACCTTGGAATTGTCAGTCTCTCTTTGCCAATGGAGAAACCAGAATTTTAAAATGTTGAAACCGAAGCTGGGCGACCTGAGAGTAAAGGCACAGGTTTGGCCATTGTGGTAGCGCATGCCTTTAATCCCAGCACTCGGGAGGCAGAGGCAGGCAGATCTCTGTGAGTTCAAGGCCAGCCTGGTCTACAGAGCGAGTGCCAGGATAGGCTCCAAATCTACACAGAGAAACCCTGTCCCGCAAAAAAAAAAAAAAAAAATTAGGTCATTTGAGGAAGGAGAAAATTAACTGACTCCTTCGAGTGTCCTCTGATCTCCACACAGGCACAGCACGCACCTCTCAACTCCACAAATGCAAATAACAAAATTTTAAACTGAAGCTGTTTGCTTCAATTTGAGATGTGCGACTTTGTTTTTTGTTTGTTTGTTTGTTTGTTTGTTTGTTTGAGACAGGGTTTCTCTGTGTAGCTTTGGAGCCTATCCTGGCATTCGCTCTGGAGACCAGGCTGGCCTCGAACTCACAGAGATCCACCTGCCTCTACCTCCTGAGTGCTGGCACTAAAGGCGTGCGCCACCAATGCCCAGTGAGATGTGGGACTTTTTAAAAGATTTATTTTTGTTATTAGGTGTGTGTGTGTGTGTCTGTCTGTCTGTCTGTCTGTCTGTCTGTCTGTGGGTGCGCGCATACTCGCTACCCATGCTCATACCTCTACCTTCCCAGTGCTGGGATCACAAGCCTGAACCATTATTCCTTGCTTATTTACATGGATGCTGGATTAGAACCCACATTCTTGTGCTTGCATGGTGTGGCAATTTGAATGGGAATGGCCCCCATAGGCTCCTATATTTGAATGTTTGGTGCCCAGTTAGTGAGCTGTTTAGGAAGGATCAGGAGCAATGGCCTTGTTGGAGGAGGTGTGTTACTGGGGGGGTGAACTTTGAGGTCTCAAAAGCCCACACCAGGTCTACTCTCATTTGCTCTCTGCCTCTCTGAGGTGTAAGCTCTCAGCCCTGCCTTCTCACCACCCTGCTTCCCATCATGGTGATCATAGACTAACCCTCTGAAACTTTAAGCAAACCCCAATTAACTGCATTATTTTATAAGTTGCCTTGGCCATTGTGTCCCTGCACAGCAAAAAATAGTAACTAAGACTCATAGGAAGTACTTTATCAACTACTGAGTCCTAATCACTTTTTGCTTGTTTGTTTTCCAAGACAGGGTCTCTCTGTGTAGCTTGGAAGTCTGTCCTGGAACTTGCTCTATAGACCAGGTTGGCCTTGAACTCACAGAGATCCACCTGCCCCTGCTTCCCAAGTGTGGGGCATTAAAGGCTTGTACCTGCACCACCTGGCATATAACAAATCTTAACAGTAACCAGATAATGGAAATGAGTATTGTGCAACCCATGAAGCGTCAAATGGAGACATTCATACAATGTAACACTGCTGAGGGAAAAGTGGGGGAAAAAAAAAACTGATCACGAAATAAGAAAAATGGCTCTCAAAAATATCATCCTAAAAATAAAATTCCCCTAGGTGAAGGAAGCCAGATGGAAAGTGCTGGCAAACTCCAACTGCACTTATGTGAAGTATCAAGACACAAACAAACCCAGAGAGCCAGGAAGTCATCAATAACAACCGGCTCGCCTGCCGGGCCTGGCTGGAGGGTATGAGGCCTGTGGGAGCTGAGGAAATGGGAGAAGCCAGACCTGAGACTGAGAAGGGATGGGTGGCCAATGAAGTGGGGAGAAAAGAGAGGGTGGTGCTGTGGGAGCTGGTCCGAGGCGAGGCCAAGTCGGGGGAAATCAGAGCAGCGGGGGGACTTAGCATCACTTCCCTTGGCAATGGCTGTTTTGGTGAGGTGGTGAAGATCAGAGAGCTGGGAACAGATGTGAAACGGTATGGATAGGTCCCTTTGTGACCAAACTAAGACCATTATCCAATCCCTGGGGCTCTTCGACATCAGAGAAAGAATTCAGAACAAAGTATGGAGTTTAGCACAGGTTAGCCTATAACTCACTATGGAGCTGAAGCGGACTATAAACTCCTGATCCTCCTGCCTCCACCTCTCCATGGCTTACAGGCTTGCGCCAAGTTTTCAGGTGGATTGTGGTGCAAGTGCATGATAGGGTCAGGGAAATTTACCAGGTTCATGACATGGAGAAACCTTTTGTAATTAAACAGAGGAAAGCTGCTGGTCATCTTGGTCCACCATGTGGGTCCAGCTGGCTTGAAGTGGTTTTTCGACACCACCAGTCCTATGACACTATACATTAAGCAGTCTTGCTACAGAGTGCTGGTCCTCCACTTAGGATGTTTTTGTCCTCTGGGTGACATTTGGTAATGTTTTGTTTAAAAAATTTCAACAAACTTGGAGATCTATTGTTCAAGGAGAAGACCAGGTGGTGCAGGCGTACAATCCCAGGCAAGCCTCAACTACAGACTGACATCACGGCAGTCTGGATATCTACATGGAACTCTGTACCATTTTTTTTTTAAAGCAGTGGCTTGAGAGAAGGCTCAGTAGTTAAGAACCTTTGCTGCTCTCCCAGGGGACAAGATTTTATTTTGGAGACAAGGTGACTTGAAAGTCTGGCTGACCTGGAACTCAGAGATCTTTGCCTCTCAAGTGCTGGGACTGAAGATGTCTGCTACCATCCCTTGCAAAAATAAACAGTTTTAAAATAAGTAAGTAAATAAAAGCCTGGTTAACGGGGCTGGAGAGATTGCTGGTACGTTAAGAGCACTGGTTGCTCTTTCAGAGGTCCCGAGTTCAATTCCCAGCAACCACAAGGTGGCTCACAACTATCTATAATGAGATCTGGTGCCCTCTTCTGGCCTGCAGGCATACATGCAGGCAGAACACTGTAAACATAATAAATCTTTAAAAAAGAAAGCAAGAAAAGAAAAAGCCTAGCTATAAGTTCCTAGCTAGCCAAGGCTACACAGTGAGAGGCTGTCCCAAACAACAACACCAAAGTGCAAAGAGGGCTGGTGTGAACGGAGTTCCCAGTAAAAAGCCACATCTACATTTACAGTTTTGCAGAGCTGGGCTAGTTCATTGATCAGGTCTCCGTAACTGTGGAGAGTTAAAATGTTGAAGATTCAGAGCCAAAATTATCTTGGGCTTTAAATACACACACACACACACACACACACACACACACACACACACACACACACAGTCTCACAATGTAACCCTGGCTACCTGGCTAGCTTAGGATTCACTGTGTAGACCAAGTTAGTGTCAAACTGACACATCCACCTGCCTCTGCCTCCCATGTATGAGATTAAAGGTGTGTGCCAATACACCAGCTTTTTTTTTGTAATGTATGTGTGAGCCCCTGCATGCATATCTGTGTACCTGTCCGGTGTCCAACGATGACAGAAGAGGCCGTTAGATCCACCAGAACTGGAATTATAGCCTGTTTTGCACCACTATGTGGGTGCTGAGAACTGAACCCAGGTCCTCTGCAAAAGCAACAAGTGCTCTTAACTGTCAAGCTGCCTCTCCCAACCTGAGAGTTAGGTAAGTCATGTGACAGAACACGGTGCCATGGAGGAACCACAGTGGAGGAAGTCTGTACACCCCAGGCCATTTCCACATGCCCAGCAGCACCCCAAGGGCAAACATCTCTCCCAGATGTTTCTCAGATGTCTTTCCTACATGGGGGAAACACAGTTTGGCTCCTCTAAGTGTCTCTGGCAGGGTTAGTTGTCCCACCAGTGGGACAAAGAATTTGCCTGAACAATGGCAGGGGAATAAATGACATCACCTTTCCAACCTTTCTTCTCATGGAAGGGACTGACTGGCAAGGCAGCACTTAGGGTTTTCAGCTGCTCTGAGGAACACCTGTACAAGGGACAGACTGTAATTAGAGGCAGCTCTGATCCAGCCAGAGTCCACTGCTATGGCCCATGGCCCCCTCCTTCACCCCTACACCACACTTCATTATTCCTTACTTCTCAGACTCCAGCTACTTCCTCTTTCCTGACCCCAGTCTCCAGTCCACTGGACCTCCAATCTGTCCAGTCTATATCCAGTGAATAAACCGAAATAGGATTACAAGAGAACTGACTATGGTGAAAGACAGTAACTAAGATGCAAAAGCCAAACAATGAAACATTCCTATCTTTCCTTTTTTTCTTTTTGAAGCAAGGTGTAGCCCTCACTACAGTGAGATCTACCTGCCTCTTCCTCCTAAGTACTGAGATTAAAGGTGTATGCACCACACCTTGAAAGTGACATCTTTTATATTGCTTGGTTTTTGTTTTTTGAGACAGGGTTTCTCTGTGTATCCCTGACTGTCCTGGAACTCACTCTGTAGACCAGGCTGGTCTCGAACTCATAGAGATCTGCCTGCCTCTGCCTCCTGTGCCACCACTGCCTAGATTTACTTTTTTATTTTATGCGAGTGTTTTGTCTGCATGGCCTGTGGAGGTCAGAAGAGGTCATGAGAGCCGCTGAAACTTGAGTTAAGGATAACGATGAGCCCCAAATGCATTCTGGAATCAAACCCATGTCCTCTGCAAAAGCAACACATGTTCAGTCTATCAGACTCAGATTGCTAAACTTCGAATTCTGCTGACCTCGGGTGTGCATATTTCAGTAAAAAGTTCTCATGAACTTCTCCTAAGGGTTAAACTGTTGTGTTTTGATTTTTTTTTTTTTTTTTTTTGAGACAGGGTCTCTCCTGGAACTCACTCTGTAGACAAGGCTGGTCTTAAACTCAGAGATCCACCTGCCTCCCGAACGCGGGGATTAAAGGCGTGGGTTCCACTGGATTTTAAAGTGTCAGTACACTGTGAACTGAAGCTCTGGAGCCAAAGCAAAGTGGAAACCCATGGACTATTCGTCTCAGCATTGACATAGAGCAGATGTGGCCTGAAAATTACACCCTCCTAATGAAGTGGTCTTGTAACATCTGTAAACACAATCGAAAGGGCAAACAAAACAAACTGCTTTAGTGTGAGTGTTACAGCTCTTTCTGGGCAGAGCCCCAACCGGTTATT